AATTTCGATGCAGGATATGTGTGAATTGAAGACTCTTTTTTCATAAAACTTTACTGATAACGTTTCGGGCATAAGCCCTTCTTCAGATCAACTGAAAAACATTGCACATACAATTCAACACAACAAACATTGTTAAACAGCAAGTGCATCCTACCTATGCCGTCCTACAGTAAAGGAGGGGGAGAGGGGAGGACGGGATGGTTGAGAACGGAAGAATGAGGGAGGTATGCTACGTGGGCTTTTGAATGGGTTGAGGGAAGGGAATGATCTTCTCATAGTCACGAAGACTTCCCTCTCGCACGTCGCACAGCCTCACATTTCAATAAGTCTCATTGCCATCTTCATTTCCTCCTTGTCCTCGAGTCATGACAACTGATAACGTACTACATATATAAATAAGACGCGGCCGTCCTGAAAATTCGGTTATCGAAAATGAAAGAGCAGATTTCGAAAGATGAAGAGAAGAATTACATCAGGTCAGCTTCACCAAAATCGTTAGCGCAGTGTGATCAATGACGTGGACCTTTCTCCACTATGCAGAGCCATTCGTAGCGTGAGACTTCTGTAGCGAGACGCGCTTCTGAAACAGTTCTCTTCTCGCTTACGTCCCTTTGTAGTGCGTGTATCTCTCCTTCCTCCACACTCAGTTTGTCGTACATCATTCTCCCTTAAAGGCAAACTCCGGGATAAAACGAGGGGCTCACCTGTTCGAGTGTGAAGAGCTGGATGCTAAAGTTGATCGAAGGTAATGAAAAAAGCAGGAAATACCTCCAAAGAACTACAAAATTAGAAATTTCTCTTCGTTAGTCGCTTACGAACCAGGGCTGGGAAAATTACCTGTTTGGACATGTCTACAGCAACTGTTGGCTTTGTGCCATCAACCGACACGACCACAAAAAGTCAGCAATGAAAACTGATTTTTTCCTAGTTTCCCTATTTTTCTTTTTTCCTGTGCTTTTTTTTGTTTGCTTCCTATCTTAAAATTTTTTCTTCTCACTAGAATGATGACAACGTTCTCCAAAATGGTCGTAAGATAGGCTTTGATGTCGATTTTCGCAATTGAAATCCGCTAAATACTCCCCTACGACTTTCCAAACAACGGCTTAACATCTAGCGTTCCAGGTGGTTGTTTGGAAGATCACGTAGGACGGTGGGCGGGCTCAATGGGTTGGGGCGGCGCCAATGCTCCAACCTAGGCCCCTAGCGCCTAAACCTTATCAAAACGCCCCGCCACTTCTGCACATGGTCTGCCCTTGCGTACTGCTCCATATTTGACGGGGAAAACCTAAATTTCGCCAGAAATCCTCGGAATTTGCCTTTAAGCATAGCGCGCCTGAAGACTGAGATGGGCTTACCTTCAATAGATTGAGATTTTACGATAAGCCAGCAATCTACGCTATCGCGCCTCACAGCTGGCATCAGAGTTCCAGAAATCGGTGGTCGGAAGCTTCCTTTCGTTTCGAGTGTCTGTTATTAACAATTTACGTACTTCATTTTTTTTTTTCAATTTAGCAGCCTCTTGACTTCGCACTAGACTTGAATTGATGACCACGTTTTAACATTTTTGTGTACAGCAGCTGTCAAAAGAATCCACCAAAACGGTTTTCATGCTTAAGTGCTTTTCACTTAAAGGCAAACTCCGGGATAAAATGAGAGTTCTGTGGACAAATATGACGTTCCGGGTGCTAACGAATCAAACCTAGAGAAAAAAGCAGGATCTACCCCTGAAAAGGTCCAAAATAATGATGTCTGATAGTGTCCACAGCAGTTGCTGGCTCCATGCCAACAACCGACACGGCCATAAAAATCAGCAGTGGGAATTGATTTCTTCTATTTTCTATTTTTTCTGCTTTCTTCTGCCTTTTTGTTTGTTGCTCCTATTTAAAAAAATTCTTTTTCCTTAAAATGAATGGCAAAAATTCCGATAATGGCCGTAACATAGACTTTGATGTTGAACTTGGCAGTCGAAATCCGCAAAATATCCTCCTACGACCTTCCAAACAACGGCTTGACATCTAGTGTTCCAGTGTTGTTTGGAAGGTCGCGTGGAACAGTGGGCGGGCTCAATGGGGTTGGGGCGGCGCCAATGCTCCAACCTAGGCTAGCGCCTAAACCTTGTCAAATCGCCCCGCCACTTCTGCACATGGTCCGCCTTGCGTACTGCTGCATATTTGACGGGGAAAAGCTAATTTCGACCAATTATCCTGAACTTTGCCTTTAAGTCAACCACTTCAACATATTGTGCCTCATAGTGCATTTGAAATATTAAGTCTTAAGGCACAAGATATTCAACGAAAACAGCTCTATTTTATCTTCAAGTTTTCAACAAATAACTAGAGGGGTATGAAACCATTTCAGAACCATTTTGACCCCTGCTATCTCTGTCAGTCAGCATGTATTGGTTCATCCATTTGAAGGGGATAACGTAGTGTCTCGTGATTATGGAACATTCTCCTGCTATACCTGAATTTGTTACAGTGTAAGGGTGTGCCTTACAGTGACTTTCTACTTAATTGAAGATAATGCCTTCCAGCACTAACAATAAGCTAAATAAGGTAATGTTTCTGATGCATAAGTTCGGACTTGTTTTTTCTCACAATCAAGTTTATATCAGATTTTCCATCAAGTTTTTTAACGAGGGCTAGTGAAACATCGCTCCGGTGAACAGCGTGTGCATAAAAAAACCACGCTATTAGAAAGGTTTGTTTGATGACAACGCGCAATCGCAAGTTCATTAAAGGGATCTACTCGAAAAAATCGCGATTCTATCTTGCCCATAATTCACTGGCTTGGGACCCATCGTTCACGATAAGAACGAAAAGAACAAAAATTGCATTTGTTTTGGTAAAAAATTCGAAAAATCGAAAGGGCTGCTACGCGTTCAAAGTGCCCACGGACGTCTTTCACAAATGCTGGCGACGGGGATGCTTCCACTTGGTTCTTAGTGCCTTCACTAGAAACTCTTTCTGGCCTTTTGACTTATTGCATTCACATCTCACACTTCTACTCCATCCTATTCTATCGATCGATTTGTCTCTACTCTCCAAAATCGCACGCTTTAACCCGATTCTTTCATTGCGTCGCCTGATACGTAGCCGCCCAAGGCGGACTTCTTTCCATGCCCCGCCTTTGGCTCCGCGCCATTACCTTCGATTGTCCATAGAGTGTGGTTTTTGTAAGTTTGTTTCTCTTCGGAAACGAATCTTTGTGCGTGAAACTTTGTATGCTGTCTCTAGTGATCACAACTGACATATGCGTGCTGGGAAAAAATGCGGATTTTATGGAAAATTCTTGCATTCTTTCTTAACATGAATATGTCAGTTGTGATCACTGGAAACAGCACACAAAGTTTCACGCATGAAGATTCGGTTTCCGAAGAGAAACAAACGTACAAAAACTACACTCTATGGACAATCGAAGGTAATTCGGGCGGAGCCAAAGGCGGGGCAAAGAATCGGGTTAAAGCGCGCGATTTCGGAGAGTAGAGACAAATCGATCGATAGAATAGGATGGAGTAGAAGTGTAAGATGTGAATGCAATAAAGCAGAAGGCCAGAAAGAGTTTCTAGTGAAGGCACTCCAAGAACCAAGTGGAAGCATCCCCGTCGCCAGCATTTGTGAAAGACGTCCGTGGGCACTTTGAACGCGTAGCAGCCCTTTCGATTTTTCGAATTTTTACCAAAACAAAAGCAATATTTCTGTTCTTTTCATTCTTATCGTGGATAATGAGTCTCAAGCCAGTGATTTATGGCTGAAATAGAATCATGATTTTTCCGTGAAGGATTCCTTTAATCTGTCATACTTCTCTAGAGATCATGTACTCAACATGTTGACATTATTCTCATTCGAAAGCAGGTTTCGGTTCTTTTTGGTCTACAGGGTGGTCCAAAATTATGAGGACCAAGACATTGTGTCGTTAAAAACGCATAGTAGCTTGATGGAACAAACAAACTTCAGGGAAGTGTTTGTAACTCTTATCTCAAAGTAATTCCAGAATAGAATTGAGATCTGCCACCTGCCCGTTTACACGAGCCTTCAGATGAAGGGGATGGCGCGTGCGGTGGCACGCAACTGAGGCGTGTCAAAATGTTTCCAGGCCTTCTGCTCTGCTTTCTTCAGGGGATCAAAGTTTTGTGGGGCATTTATTTGCGCTTGTCTCCAGGGTGTAAAATACAGAAATCTAGAGCTATTAGGTGGAGGTTCCATTGTAACAATTCTTCGAAAGCAACGAACTCGAAAAATCGCTTTTAGAGAATTTTTGCTTTATTCTTGGGTGCTCGGTCCTGTAAAAGTCCCAAGTAGACTACTCGAGTGGCTTTCTATCCACTACAGATGTGGAGTCTTTAGAGTGTCTGGCTGGGTTTTCACATCAATTTTTTCATTTTGGGAGTACGAAAGTCGACAAGGGGAGACCTAGTTTCTGCATCTGATAATTATCCTGGTGGTAACTGTAACTGTAACTTTCGAGTCTCCGAATTTTCCATCTGTGGTGGTTCCAAACTTATTGAAGAGTTGAACTGTTGCCCATAAGAGCTTCCCTGATACGTTAGACTGCCGCTAGATGTAACGTGCCAGAGCCCTAGTGAGTTCAATTTGAGGACTGACGTAAGGAGATGTTGTTATTTCACTAGTTTTGAGAACTGCATGAAATTTGGTTTCATTAGGAAGAAGACATTGTACCCTTCACATAGTGCACAGAAAAGGAGATGAAAATGGAGCGACTCGGAAAAAAGTGGATATGACCGCGCGCGCACGCGGTCCTCATAATTTTGGACCACCCTGTATAGTACGACTGCGTCGCTGGATTAGAGTGAATGGATTCTCTTGGTTAAATACATATTTTTATTTTCAGTGTTGAAAACAGAATTGGATTCAAGAAAAATTTGCATGCGCTGCTATGTCCGCTCTATTTCGCTCATTGTGCTTTTTATCACAGGAACATTATTGTTCATCGGAACACAGTTGTTCTCCTCGATTTATTCCGAAACGCTTCTCAGAAGGATGACGAAGGCATTTGGTGACTGGCGAGTGTGCATGGAAATATTATTGGACAACACGGGAGGAAACCATTTGAAGGTATATTCGTATAGAGCAGAAAGGCAACCTCTTCAACCAAAAATCGAACGTTTAGGTGTGGATGGATTTTCCCAAAATCACAAATTTCTGTGCGGGTATTACTGGAGCTCGCAGGATCAAGCTCACTCTTCTTGAAAATGAGGACGAAGTTAAGCGCTGTATTCTTAGCAATGTATGTGTTCTAGTGTACGAGCTGGTGCTTTGTGAACAAAGCTATTTGCTTCAGGATATTGATCCCACCGTCACGGTAACGCTAGGTGTCGGTACTGATATAGGAGTCGAACGACAACTGCAAAATCTACTTCCACAAGCAAGCTCATATAATTCAGAAAGATGACGTTCCTTACGATTTTTTCAATAGTTCTATTTGAGGGGTCCGAATTCTTTGGAGCGGATCCAGTAATCAGGCCGAATGCCAACATCTTCAGCGAGATTGGGAAATTTTTCCCGGTAGCTGTCAGTAATTACTCTGGTCTCTCACATTCCACTATTCGAGCAGACAATGGTGAATTTCGTCAAACTACTTCCATTCAATCCATTTAAAGGCAAAAGTCGGGCTCAATAAGGGGGTATTATGGCGATTGAAACTGAGTATAGAGATGCGAAGTGGAACGACAGTGGAGAAAAAACTGAGAAAAACCGTCGACAAGGCCGTTAACAAAACCCTCTTTCCCACTAGCAGTGAAGGAGGCTGGCTTGGGAAAGAGGCACGTACAAACAAGTTTTCTGGAGATATCAGTCGTTCTATCGGTTGATACCAGGGTGAATATCGGTCGAGGAAATCCTCGACAGGGGGGTCGTACCTGTTGGGCTGGTCCATGGGGGGTCGTACTCTTGGGGGTCAGTAACAGAAGTGGTATCATGGTGCAGATAGGTAAGAGGGTATAGCGCAGCAGAAAATGAAAACATCTGAAAAAAAACATGATATTAAATTTTCTTTGCAGGTTCAGTCGCTCCATTCCTCCACCTTCATGAGAAGGGCGTATTTGAAGGCAGTACAAAGAATGAAAGTGCATCCCCGCAAAGAAGACTGCCACATGTGCGCACGCGCTGCAAAGGCACCTCCTCCGCCTATCACTCGCTCCTTCTCCCTTAATACCTCGCTGAGAATGACGCTGTTGTTAGGGACCCTGTCGGAAAAACGACAACCGTGAAGAAAAAGCGCTGGGCAAATGAAGTTGTTTTTTAGGTTACAGGAATAGCACAACACACTATGTCTACTACAATACAGTTTCGTTCGAAGGTCCCCATCATATAACACCTTTCAATCGATTCTGCAACTGTGAGTGGAGGAGGGATGCATGGCTTATACCAATACCAAATCGGATGATGACGATTGCTCCTATTCTTATTGTTTGCGTTCAAAGATATTGTTCTAGACACATTCCGAGTGTTGCCAACGAGTCACACTTGCAATGGTGAATGAGGGAGCGGATTTCCAGGTGGCCGGATCCGACCTCGATAGATCCTCGACGCAATTATCTCTTCAACCAAAAAGCTGTAGAAGAAAACTAAACAGACCATCAGGAAGCGCAAACCTTCCGCTTTCCAAAACTATCTTTCCCTTTTTCAGGATCTTACAATATAAGAGATATATTGCTCTTGAAGTGGCAAAAACTCGCGTGAAAATTTGGGCCTCCTCGACATTTACTCGACGAAATTTGACAGACCCTATCTTTCTGCAAGGAAGGCTTCCAGAGCAATTTCGATGCTTGTTGGAAACGCGAAATCCAGCTCTATCTAACTCTACCTCAAGCTGCTTCAAAGGTTGTGAAATGGAGGAATGCAACCTTTTCATCGAGGGTGTAGATTCGGACGTTTTTTTTGAAATTTCGGCAAATCTGACCCAGTGACAATCGCGCCGCAGCTGCCGTTGAATCGGCCTTTGATACACTCGGCTGTTTTGATATACTCAAGCAAGAATCAAGATTGAATCGCAACCCCGTGTCTTCAGGATTTCTGTGCGTTTCTGAACGAACCTCGCCTTGAGGCCACACAAAGTTAATGCCTCTTTCCTCGAGTCGATATTTCAGTATGTACACAAAAGTATGCAGCGATGGAAGACGTGCATAGATGACATTATTTTTGTTTTTGTTTTTTTTTGTCCTTAGCATTATTTTGCAGAATTTTTTTTGATTTGTTTTGCAGGATTTATTTTAATTGAATTAATTTGCTCTGTTAGAGGGGGTCGTGCCAGGATCTCGATTTCGGGGGGGGGGGGGTCGTACCTCTGCGACCACGTACTCGACACGATTTTCACCCTGGTTGATACGGCAATCAACCTAGCTGATTTCACACGTTATGCCAGCCATGCACCACATCCCAAGGTGGGCGGTCGTAGCGGGGCCAGGCGGCGATAGCGCATAGTACATGCCCTGGGGCCTTATTACTGCGCCGTTTCGGGTTTTGAGTGTGGGAACATCTCTACGGGTGCGTACCAAGTACATGACCGAGAGTGTTGTTTGTCGTACTAATTCCGTCTTTGCCTTTAGACATACTTGGCTGCTTTACTGTCAGACTTAAGGATTAATTGAAAACCTATCAGAGAAGTTGCAAGAAATTGAGTCATTATTTCTTACATAATGCTTGTGAAACTCTACTCGAGAGCTTCAAGAAACTTCTCAACCCATCGTCGTATCCTGACTTCTATCAAGCATATCTTGCATGAGTTGCCAAAGCGTGCACGTAAACCGGAAGAGCGCTCGATTGAGAGTCACATCTATATGTTAACACATTCACGACGACGCCCCTTTTCCACTTTTCGGTCGCGTGGGACGGACGCGATTTTGTGGGCGCCGCCGCCTCACCACATAACCGCAGATTTTGTTTTGTAAATGAACAAAAACATGAATGTCACAAAATAATTTCTGCAATGTCCAATGCGTAAAGATTATCTAAACATATAACAGTAGGATTTCGATCAGAACGACAAATAGTGAGGGGTGGGATTCGAAAAAGCCGAGAATTAATTCACTTTTCTCCGTGGAGAATTTAAAAAGCATTTCACACTATACGAGTTTGTCACCCATATCTGTCATTCCTAATGCTTGGCACAGCGATACAGTTGAGTCCAGCCCTATGGCGGCATCGTCCAGGAGCGCATGTTGTTGGCAGCTCATATGGGCGGCCATCGGCGTGAATGTGTTAAATACGTGATTCACGCGCGCAAAGCACAAGCAATAAAATCGGTTGGAAAGAGAACAAACTGCAAATCTGTGGTCTAACCAAGCACACAGTGCCAGGTGATCACTGTTTCTGGCCCCGTCATTGACCCCTCTAAGAGGTGATTAAGTATTCGCATACACTGAAAGTTTGAAGAGGAAGCGATCTCTTGGATTGCAACTTCACTAGTGCCGATTTGGTTTCTCAGAGTCTTAACCATCGGGACACTAGGTTAATTTTATATGTTTTATCTCGTCGAACTTGCCTCTTCTATTAGGTCGGTCCACAATTTTTGAGAACCTTTGGTGTTTTTCGATTATTACTTATCTTATTTCTCTGATCTACTTATCCAGCATAGTATACATCATTATTATTAACAACATATCGCCAATGCGAGGGTGGGTATTCAGTGCCTCTCTTGTGGACTTTCATAGAGTTCTGATCGAAGGAAAATTGTAGTCCCGAATCAGTTCTCAACCCAATCTGACATCATCAAGTTCCTGTTGGTTTCCTATAGTTCCTTCGGATGACCATCTATAATACTCATTGGTGATGTGGACTGGGTGCATGTGCTAACAAATCCACGAGCCGCAGTAGATTTGCTCAAACGATTCGGGAGTTCTGACAGTACAAACCCAACTCCCTCTGAATTCGAACTTCCTGAGTCGTTGGCGCAATACGGGAGGGCCTTTGCGCTGAAGACCGGCATCAACTAATACCAGTGTCAGTGATGGGAAGAATCGTTGACAGCTTGATGGCAACGCCTTCAACTTGAAAGCAAAGGAAGACAAAATCTATTTTTCTCTGAGGTCGTTCGAGCCCGCCTTGCTAAGAAAATTCCTAAAAAATTGGAGACTCTCGGGCGGTCAGTTCTTTTAGCTCCGCCTTGTAGCACTAATCCTGCGTCAACGAACGACTATCCGCTCTCCTCTCTCAATCACCTTCTGGAGAAGAAATCTCACTTGAATCACCATAAAGTCAAAATCGACATCCAATATTTCTTCGATCAGAACTCTATGAAATTCTACAAGAGAGACACTGAATACCCACCCTCGCATTGGTGATATGTTGTTAATAATAAGTACATCAGAGAAATAAGATAAGTAATTGAATCGAAAAACACCAAAGGTTCTCAAAAATTATGGACCGACCTAATAAATTCGGCCTCCTTGTTTAGCATCAGCTGGTATAATATCTCCAATGAAGTAAACTAACCGCAGGGTACTAAAATGAAACTCTCTTTGAGCACTGCAAACTGCCTATTTGAGACGGTAGCTGCAGCAGGAATTTGCGGTCAGCTTTAAGGAGTAATTCAGAAGATTTAGTGCAGTTTTTTGAATCCAGGTACGAAGTGCTAATTCCAGAAGGTGTTGAGAAACTTCTTACCCATCTGATACTCAAATCTTTCTCACCACCGCACTCTCCGAACGTTGGAACCACAATCAATGAATCTAGTGCAAAATGTGCAAAGCGAAGAAGTAAAAACTATAATTGAACACGTTACTTTAGGAAAGCGATATATACAAATCTTATTTGAAGTATCGTTTTTAGTTCAGTTGGTGACAGTGTTCAGGAAGCTACATAAGCAAGACAGTGGAACATGTTCATTTTGCGACCTTTGTAACGAGAATGGTAAATCGTACACGAATCGACAACTTGATTATGGACAATGAGGGCCCTGAGTATCATTTGATCCCAATGATAACTATCGATAACGTGCTTTCTGAATACAATATTATCATCTGTCAAATAAATGTAGAGGTGAGCTCTATCGTCGTTACAGCATAAAATATCACACAACAGCCCTGAACAGCTTTCCGAAATGTTATAGCTCAAATTTTCAAGCTGCCCTTTACCTAGTATATCTCTCCGTACAGAATTGGTATATTAGTACTACATTTTACTGAATTTCCCCAGGTGTCACTACCAAGCTTGCAGCCAGTTAAGAGCATCATATACTTATTGCTTCATATTGTATGTTTCTGACAAACATTTTTCAGTTCCACGAATGGATGTCGAAGAGGTCGACGATTTCTTCCTCATTTGATGTCGGGAATGTTGAGACAAGGTCGATACGCTGCTATTCATAGTTACCACGATGACCACCTGCGTGTATTCCTTATTAATTACAGCGATCCATATTGCATACACAAATATCTTTTACAATTCTTTTAAGATCCCTTTTCCCGCACGTGAGTTCCCTCAGCACCCTCGTGGTTAATTGTGGATTGTCTGTTCCGATTTACTGGTGTGCGTGTTTCAGCATCCCCGTGTTGTTATTTTGGGAATTTCGCTATTCTACAATGCAACATGGTGGGTTTTTATGCTTTCAGGAGTAATGATTTTTGCGTTAATTAATGGTAGCGGGCTTTACAGCTTCGATCGCAGAGTGTGTTACTGGATGTCGGATTAGAACATATGGGAGGCTTTGCCATAATCGGTAGAAATTTAGCAAGACTTGGAGACCTAGAGAAAGTTTTCACCAAGCTCCATATTACAGCTGAGGCAGCCTAATCCTGCCAACTGACACGAAATTGCAGCCTCTCGTGCATCAAAGTCATTTGGAACGAAAGACCATCAGCCAAGGCGCCTCTTCTGCGCACCCTGCCACTCAGGGTGTCCCCCAACAGGCCACCGCGCGGCGAAGCAAGAGACGCAGATGCGGCAAAGAGACGAGTTGCAGCGCGTGCTGTGCGATATGAGACGTAGTATGGTACACTCTCTTTAACCTGACGCCTAACCGCTACAGTATGCGCTGCGACTCGTCCCTTTGCCGCGGCCTGTTGGGGCACTCCCGACTAACGATACACTCACAAAGCGCTTTTCGGGGTCTGTCTGTTCTACCTGCTTGCCAGCCTAGCTCCGTCGCGTTCGTGCTTGGTCCGTTCACAGTGCTACTTTCTCTGGGCTTGGTTTGTGGTGGTTTGTTTTCTTTTTACTTACAAAATGACGACTCAATTGAGAGGTCCCGCATGCTAAGAGAAAGATCAAACTTGGGGTGGATTGGGTATGTCTGGGAGGGCAGTTTAAACGGCCCACTAACAGAGCGGGTCCGCTGGGCGCGGTTGGGCGTGCATCGACAAGAGCGGTACTTGACGACGAATTTTAAATGTGATAGGTCCAGAGCTACCCGCAGGAGAAAAGGTGCGGTAACGTTGTGCAGTGAGAGATAGCACACATCGGAGGAGTAGGGAGGTAAATTCTTGAGATGAGCGCAGGCGCTTCTTAAGAAAGCGATGATTGAATGGAAAATTCCATAGCTCGGCAGGGAAAAAACATGAAAAGCAATAAGATGCCTGGAATAGTGTAGCGACGGCGATGTCTAGCGGTGGGTGGCAGCACTCATGGGCCCACAACAGGACAGGGTCGGTTTAAACGGCGAGATCCACGCCTCTTTTTCTTACAAAGGTTTCTCCAATCATCCATTCCCGAGACAAAGCATGCGCGAGAGCCCGAGGAAACAGTGATAGAGAGTTGGACAATATGAGGGTGTTGGTAAGCGATATAAATGGATGTAGACGGAGTGACTAACCGTTATCTTTGTCCGCTTAAAGGCAAAGTCAGCTGCGTGTTGGGGGGCCGTAATGGGCGGCCTGAAATTTGAGTGTTAGTAGATGAGAGGTGGAACGACAGTGAGTAAAAAAAACGCAAAGAAACCGTCGACAGGACCAAAATCGAAACCTCTTCCCTTCTAGCAGCAAAGGGGGCTTGCTCGGGGAGAGCCACGTCCAAAAGAGTTTTCCGGATAGCCGTTACATCGGTTGATACGGCAATCAACTACTGACCTCGATTACGTTGTAACTGCCAGCCCCACGCGCACCACTTCCGCGGTGGGCGGGACTCTCGCTGATGGAACGAACCCATCGCTGTAAGTAGTAGGCCAGAGGCCTTGTCGCGCGCAATCTCGAGTCAGGAGTGTGGCATCAGCCCTCTGAGCGCAGTCCTGGTCATTTTAGTGATGGAAAGGCCTTCTATGGTCACCTAATCCTGACTCTTGGCTTTAATTCGACCTTACTTCTGCATAACTGCATTCCGCCTGGCATGGCCACGGAACACGGCGAGGGGGCGGATTGGGAACGTGTATATAATACAAGTAGAAGGAAACCATCTGAAGACCTAATACTTTCGAGACGCCCTAAGAATAAACTTTCACTATTTGGTCTGCTATGAATTAGGCCACATACATATGTCAGACGCGAGCGCCGCAAAATGATCGCCTGATGAATTGGTATATTCCCTGGAACTGTGGTAGTGTCTTTGACTACGAAGTGGGACACATATGTCCCACCAGTAGTCAAAGATTAAGTTACGCAGGATGACTCGCTTTAGCTTCTGACAACTAATTGTCATAGTAAGAATTAGAATGCTTCTATATGTGTTATGTTCGGGGCCATGCCAATAGCCCTTCTGCCGTCATTCTCTGGGAACTATGGTTAGATTACTTGGAGTATCGAGTGGGGAACACATGTGATTCGCAGCAGGTGCAAACGCTTAAAGGACGAATTCACGATGAAAAAGCAACCCATTTCAAATTAACCTAGGGATGGTGAGTGGTACACGAAAGAAGGAAGAACCATGAGAAACGGCCCAGAACCCGAGAAATGGACCCCTTCCTTGCCCGTTGATTGAGCATTGATGCGACTCTCATCGCTGTGCCCTCTTCAACACTACGCTCTCTCAGCTATCTAATCACTCGCCACGTATTGAACTACGGCGAGTGATCAGATGATCGGTGGGCGGAGATCGCCCGCCAACTTTGAGCCATGCTAGGTCGCCGAGGTCAAATTTTCGATGCCAATTGCGTGTCAGTCCGCACCCTCAGGAGATTCACCGCTCTCCCCACTAGGCGATTTCTCCCTTCTTCGACCTTCGTTCTTTCCGTGCAATCCTCCTTTAAGGGGTTGGCCCTGTGAAGGAGAAACAGCTTTTTTATGCTCATTTCAGCATCCTTTACTTTCATATGCAGTTTCGTCGCAAAAGTAGCAGTCTAGAATGTTTTTGAAAGCAACAACATCAACCATGGATCGTATCATGAAGAATCTATTCTGTGGGTGAGATAAAGTAGCCCACGAGTTTCAACCGTTCAAAAGTGCGCAACAATTGCACAGGGCCTTACAAAGTAATCTGAGGGTAACTAATGTGAACTTATCGGCGAGATACCTCACGCACACCCGGCTTACGTAACGTGTATCACGACGTTAAAAATGTGTGAGTTATTGGAGCCATGGAGCAAGCAAGTTAGTACAACTCGTCCAGCCATGCCTTCAAGGACGGAATTTCTATGCATGGCTTCATCGGAGGTTGTTTTGGTTCCATTTTCAGTCAGTTCAGCATCCACAAATTCATTATCGACCGCAGCTACCTCACCAAATTGATCTGCGGTTGTTGGCATGAAGGAAAATCGGAACACCTGGATGAACATCTTCCAGTAGCATTTACATATTTATCGATAACACTGTGACAATAACTCCAATAATAGCGACCACGTCCAAGCTATAGAAGGCGAAGAACGATAAATGCTGAGCGGTTTGAAGTGTGAAGTACTTAGCATCGCTTATGGCCAACTTCAAGATATAGTTCAGAGACGAGTATGGCAGGTTTGTTGGCTTGTCTGTCAGCATCTTGGAGAGCTTCCGAGCACATACTGTGTATCTTCAAGAGAGAAATGGCTATTAATAGTCTAAATAAGAAGCGGAGAACCTTTTCATTTCAAGAACATCCCGGAAGCACGTAGACGATCTCTGGAGTGAATAAGCTTGTCTAGGTCCGCCTGCGATCCCAATCGTTCAGCCGCATCGCGTTGATCTCTGATCGCAAAAAAGAGCATCACACCGCTGCACCCCGGCCTGATAATTTCGTATAATGTCAGTTCAACGCAAACGGACTTTCTTAAAGGAATCTTCCACGGAAAAAGCTCCGCCTCCATTACCACAGAAAAACGATACCTTAGGCCCCTAGCCTCATGAGCATAGCAAAAAGAACGGAACATAAGCGTTAGTTTCGATAATACTAATCCTACACACAAGACAAAATGATCACTCTTTCCGTAAATTCCTTTTAACCCTTTTCTGTGGTGGCGTACAACATTTCCCCACTTCGTAGTCAAAGACAATTACCACAGTTCCAGGCTATCGGGCAGACACCCTTGATGTTGAATGCACACATATAGAAGCATCTAGATGCTGTACTATACAATAATTGTCAGAAGCCAAAGCGAGTCCATCCTGCGTAACTATATCTGGATACGTGGACATATGTGCCACTCTCGTACAAGACACTAACCGACAGTTCCCAGAATAGGAGTTAAATTCCTTTGAGGCAGAAGAGGCCCGCTTGATGGCTGAATTGTGCACATATAGAAAATTTACAATTCTTACTCCCATCCCAAATCATCCTAAGTCAGAGCGCGTTACCCTGGATAAGGTAATAAGCAGGTCTTATCGCAGGTCACTGTACAGTGTTCACACCTCCCAAAAAGGGTAATTTTTGAGTCTCACACTCTTTATACTTGTTGTAATGGTTCTAGTGTTTCCCTCAATTATTGTATCACGTGCAACATAAGCAAACCGATGACGGATGGAGGCATTTTATCGGCCGCAAGCCAGTCAGAGGACGACGCAGCGTACTACGACTGCGTTGGAGATTCCAACCTCCGGGTTCTGTCAGTTCGGATGGTGCGGAAGTGGTAGTAGAACACTCCTATGATGGCGCAGATTTCGAGCATAAAAACCCACGAAAATTCGTTAGAGGAGAAGCAGCCGGTGGGCGCAGCCTGTAGGCGCGGAGCAGCACTTCCTACAAAGTGCGGCTTGCAATTCTTTTCCAAGTGCGTTCCCAACCGGACATTAGCTTATTCCACGAATGAGATGTGGAAATGTGTATTTGGTAAATGTAATTTAACTGCAGTCTATTTTTTCGAAAATGCTCATTCGAGCGGAGATGGTGTGGTGACAGGAGGGGCCACTGCCGCGCATATGGTCTCTGGATCGAATCCCAGCTCAAACCCAGCGCGCGTCAGCCAAATTTCTACAGATGATTAGTTGTTGCTAGGAGCGACTGTTACTACACAAAACACATCGATAACTTGTTTTTAAAAAAGTCGTAGTCTAAGGGTTAAGGTATCGTTTTTCTATGGTAATGGAGGCGGAAGCTTTTCCGTGGAAGATTCCTTTAAAGACGTCTGGCACGAAGCTTGGAACTGGAAAGCAGAGGTGATAGAGGGTGTTGTGGTAAAAAAAAAAAGTAATGTAAGGGAAATGGCGTAGGACAGCAAGGCGGGACCTCGATGATTTTCGCGGTATGGTTACAATGCCCAGTCAGCGCACGTGCTGTGACCTTGCTTATTGATTTTGCGCGCATAGGAAACAAGGCGATGTAAGATGCACCAGGGTCGCCCGAAGTGCGAAACTTGGGTTTGTTCATACCAATTTGTTCTTATTTCTATCGTATTTATATTAATATTCATCTTCAGTTAATCTGTTCTTAACATATGTAATCCGCCCGAGTCTTCCAATGATAGCATCATTATGTACTTGTGCACGTACAGATTTGAACTTATAAAATGATTATAATGACCAGTTCGAAAAGTCGTACCTGTGCCGTTTCAAGGAGCGAGTTATATCCGCCGTGCGCCACTAACAGCTTCATGTTGGGCAATTCTAAAAAGAACCAATTTGAGTCTTCCCGAAAGCCTCACTTCGCGGCCAATTGTGAAGAAGGGCTAAGTTTTCTGGCCATTTGGCTATTCATCGTGAAGCCTACCCTTTTTCTTGCCACACCCATAACCCAGGGCTTGTACATTTATGCTAGCAGTAGAAATTAGCACGGAGGAGAGGATGAGAGAGCATAGTAGTAAGAACACAACTGCTGGAAGAGTGCAGACATCAGCACACTGCTGTCGAGAAAAATTGAAGCGGTCGAAACGGTCTTCCAAGGCCCCACCGCTTTTATGATGCACTTTAGAGCTGGAATAGCGGGATACCTGTGATTGTCGACAGCTATGTCCTACCTACCAAAAGGATCCATCCACCTGGACTCATCCTAGGTTGTGCCTTTGAAGCGCGTGTAAACGAATGAAAGAGATGGGTCTTATAGCAAGGATGGATCTTATTCGTTGATTCCTCTCCTTGCTGGCGCTATTTTCCCGCTACGCTGGCTTTTCAAATCCGTATTTAGTGGATCTATATAATGTGCCATAGTACGTGGTGCCAAATTCTGCTCAAGAAGCAGAAAGGATTAAGATGACCGCCGCCTGCTTGGGATACGCCTCGGATCCCACCCTCTATTCAGAATGCATAGTAATGCCTGACAGCGAATAGTCCTACACAGTGAACAGCAGGGCTATCCAAGCGAATGGTTTCAAACCAGCCTTGCACTCATCAACGAACTCAGAACCATGGAAGGTCCGGTTGGCTCGGCAAAAATTAGCCTGGGATTCAAATGTGCTGGGATCCTGACTGTGGGAAGTGGCACCATTTGCGACCCCTTCAACTCTGCCCTTTCCAACAGATATCATAATAGCGTTCCAAAGCACCAACTCATTATGTCCTTCTGTGGAAGCCATTTTAACAGATGAACGTGTTTCAGTGAGATCGCATCGTCCACCTGGAATTTTCAATTTGTGGTCACTGAATAATGAACAATTCACCTTTTGAAATATAGAACTTATTTTCTTCTTTGTCTTGAAGCAGAAGCAAATTCAAAGGCACTGATTACGGTGGCTGGAGGGGAGGCAGTTTCAATGAGGTTATTAAAACGCCTTTGGTGGAAGGGTGTCAAGAGGCATTCTATTCTCACCCCAGTGCGATGAAGGGTCTAGTCATACAAGTTCTCTAGATTGGATTGTGGAATGGATCAGGAGTAGCGGCGGCAAATCAGTCTTACCAATTGGTAAGCTAAAAATCCAACAATTGCATCAGGGTTATTGCTCCCCCACATTTTCTAACCACCTTAGGGATGTCCTTGGTTACTGCGCCTGACAAGATTCGATCGACGACACGACAAGCCATTGCATATCTGCCGCTATAACAGCTTACCATTTAGCTGGAGCTACTTCATGTATTAAAACTTTTCAAAAGCACGCTCTAGGACAGAATTGGTGTCTAATGGTAAGAGCATTCAGTAATGTGCGGGAGTGGAAAGTGGACTGAAACTCACAATGAAATTCAAAGAAACCATCTAACAATGCAGAATTACGAGCTTAGACTTTTTCTATGGTACTACTTCACAGCAGAGACCCCGTACGAGAGTGCACAGATACATGACCTCTGCACAGTGGGCGATAGGGTACCACTCATAGCCACTGATCGGGAGCACTGTCTAGTAATTAGTAGCTTCCTTGTCGTTTGCAGTCGAGCTGCGGGAATGGCGCATTGGTAACCATCGCAAACAGCTACATCCTACCGCGGAACGGATTGGTCTAGTGGTCTGTCTAGGAACATGTATTCAAGTCTGAATTGGATCTATGCGGTCTTTATAGCGACCGCAACGAATACCTGATGGTATTGTTAGTGTTTAAACACTGAACACCACTACAGGTGATCTTTTTGGAATGACATAACCCTAACCTGACCCTCCATACGCCACAGTATCGTGTAATCTTTCAACATAGCGAATGCACCGACAAACGACTTCTGAAAAATTGTAAGAATTTGTATTAAATCCAAGAAAATGAAATAATTCAAAGTGAAATGACTTTTGGAAAAAAATTAGCAAATCATAAAAAGATGAATAATCACAGCACAGCAATCAAAGGAAAGAAAAACGAGTCTATTCCGATAAGGAGAGGATGCAATGTAACAGCTTATGCCGCCTACATAATCCCAAATTTTGCAAGGGTGGGAAGCTCCATGTATAAGAGAAAACGAAAGGTCCACGTATAGGGTGATTTATTCTTTCTGCAAAAATATATTTACTGTAGACGTGTAGACGGTACCTTATTGCACTACATGCCCCTCCTCATTGTGAAGACATTACTCACTCAATGAAGGAAAAACTAATTAAGTTAATAAACAAAAATGCGGTACAGTATTCACATACAATCATTTGTTGAGGCATATTTGTCGTGTTTGAAACGGTACCCAGAGAGAAGACGATCAAACCCTTAGACGGATTTTGTAGAATCGAATGGAGATCGTCGTCGAATTCTACCTTCTTCGCTGCTGAAATGAATGAGTTAAATGAAAATATGGATTTGATTTCACTAGAAATGGAACCGTTGGATCTATAGCACTAGGAGGACGCTCTAGCCTAGAGAAAGTTCTATTTTTGCAAGAGTAGATTCCCGGGATGCGTGAACAGGTTCGGTCCGCCGCTGCACGGACCGCAGAGCTTAATCTTCTTGCAAAAAAGGGTCACTTCAGACGATATGAACACCACATGCCCCTCCCTACTGGATGAGATCCGAATTCTTTACTGACTTAGATATCTGAAAAACAGAAAAGGGTAACGGCATCTCTCACCCATCGTCCTGAGTGGCTGGTATGCTTTGCAAAAACGACAGCGCAGAATTCGAATGAAAACGAGGTCGTTACAATGGCGCTCGTTTCCCATCTGCTACATGATTTCGATCCCAACGACCAACACTAATTTTTAGTGTTCCAAAATTCACCTACACTTTTTCAGTCCCAACTCTCCAGAGAAGCTAATATGAATAGGAAGTGGTCGCGGGAAGTCGAGCATTCGTTCTCCGTTGATCAGCAGTGCCGGTACATTTCGCGATAGATCCCATAGGTCTGGTTCATCTTTCCCGACAAGATCTGAAAGTAGAAGCAGAACTTCTGAGATACGATATACTTTTATATCTCGTACAAGTTCCCTTTTTCAACTTACTTCGATAGTATTCGTTTTCGTCATGGAGAAGATTTTGAGGCAAGTTGACAAAGTCGAGTAGGGAGAGATGCCAAAGCAAATTGAATACTCGATCGGTGAAACTCTGCGTGAAACCGGCTGAAATTGCTAGTCAGCGTCGCTCAGATAGTTCCCTGTTAAAGTTTACCTAAGCTACGTACCAAAGTTTGTGGAGCTATTTTCCCGATAATCATGAGAGGAGAACCACCTTCACCCTTCATTCAAGCATACTTATACCCATGAAAATTTACCTTCCTTAATTTAAGAGCAAGAATTTCGAAATCGCTGAAAATTTGTGGCCTGGGTTGAGCTGATCACCTTAGCGCAACACTAGCTGAACAGCCGCCTCGATAAAGGACCCTCGAAGGTAGGTAGAGAGAATATTTTCACATGAGGGCTCTACGAGAAGGACGGGAGTCCTTGTTTGAAGGGAAAACCTGGAAGACAGGACCCTTCCCCCTCTTCCCACCTCCAAAGGTGTTGACCGATGCGCGATAGCATAGAAGGGTATGCCCCAGCAGCTTAGCATGGCCGTCGTCGCGCAGCTATCGCCCTTGCCCGCACACTCCCTCGTCCTGTGGCTCTAGCCGCCTAGGGAGAGTTAGCGTTGATTAGGTCAGTACCGATGAGACACGGCTAAAGTGCAAATCAACGGGCAAAAGGGGTCCCATTGCCTCGGGTTCTAGGTTGTTTTTCTTGTTTTTGTTCATCCCTGCATCACTGCACGCCTCAACATTTGGTTTCTAGTGGTTTGCCTTTCCATCGCAACTCTGCTTTTAAAGGCACGCTCCGCGGTCAGGCGGGCTCGCCTATTCCATCCAGGGGGTAGTACAGGTGGACAATGTTGATGTC